GTTCATGGGGTCACGAAGAATCGGACACGACTAAACGACTAAACAACAACAACAACAAATGTATATATCTCAATTTTAACTAATAAGCTAATGCTGCAATCTGCTCCGATTGTATATTTTATCTTTATGAACGCTGTTTTTATTGTGTTATGTTATGTTATGTGAGCTGATCTTTGACTGTAATAAATTATCTATGTATCTATCTATCTATCTATCTGCTGAAAATGTAAAGAAAAAGAAGGTACCTTTTATCATACGTAGTGGACTTGTAAGGTAATAAGAGCTTTCTGGGAGATGATATATAATGAAATGGAAAAAATGTTTAAAATAACCTTTGTAAAAAACAACACAGAAGCTTTTTAATTAGGAATTACAGGTACCGACATTCTAAAGGAGCAGAAAAGACTTTTTATGTATGGAACAACAGCCGCCCAGATGTTACTAGCCCAGAGATGGAAAGTAGACAAGGTCCCTACCAGAGAGGAATGAGAAACCAAGCTGATGGACTGTGCTGAAATGGCAAAACTGACTGGAAACTCAGAAACCAAGAGGACAAAAACTTTATAAAAGAATAGGAAAAATTTATTAGTTATTTAGGAGACCACTGCAAGCGGATAGAAACATTGGCATGATTTCAAGGGTGTTTCTTTACTCATACATTGAATAAATTGTAGGGAGTAACTTTGTATCATGCAGTGAGCCATGCACAGGTCTCGCAGACCCCTCCCCCCCCCCAAATAATACAGCCATGTATCATGGCTAAATAGAACCTCCATATTCAGAGATGGTATACTGGTGAATTCCAGTTGTTTCCTACTACTTGGTCATCCTGCAGGGGCAGGCAACATGTGGCCCTCTAGTTGTTGTTGGGACTGCAATGGCCACCATCCCAGAATGTTGTTGTTGTTTAGTTGTTTAGTCGTTTAGTCATGTCTGACTCTTCGTGACCCCATGGACCAGAGCACGCTAGGCACTCCTGTCTTCCACTATCTCCCGCAGTTTGGTCAAACTCATGCTGGTAGCTTCGAGAACACTGTCCAAACATCTCATCCTCTGTCATCCCCTTCTCCTTGTGCCCTCCATCTTTCCCAGCATCAGGCTCTTTTCCACAGAGTCTTCTGTTCTCATGAGGTGGCCTCAGTAGCATGTTGGACGCCTTCCGACCTGAGGGGCTCATCTTCCAGCGTCATAACTTTTATATGCCTTTGTCCATGGAGTTTTCTTGGCAGGGATACTGGAGTGGCTTGCCGGTTCCTCCTCCAGGTGGATCACGTTTGGTCAAAACTCTCCACTATGACCTGTCCATCTTGGGTGCCCTGCTCGGCATAGTTCATAGCTTCTCTTGAGTTATTCAAGCCCCTTCGCCACGGCAAGGCAGTGATCCATGAAGGGGCCATCCCAGAATAGAATGGGACTATTGGCAACAGATACACAGGTGCAGTGTGAATTCTTTTGCACGGTTTACCCAAAGGTCTCATTGAACTCAAGGGGGCTTACTCCCAAGCTCTAAGTAAGTGCGCATAAAGAGGACTATGACCTTATTTGGAAGTAAATTCCTTGGAACAAAATGGGACTTGTTTCCAGCTAACCACAGACAGGGTCGAGTCCTAAGAGTATATATATGTTTTTAAAAATGGGCTTTTGCTTATTTTGGCCACAGAACTTTTGCTATTTTTTAATGCTCTGTTCTGCTCTCTTCTTTAGTAACAACACAATCGGACCTGCACAGTAGCATGCCAGGATACTTAGGAAGCGTTCAATCCCTTCGCGAGTTTACTCAGGAGTAAGCCCATCGAGTTCAGGAGGGCTCGCTCTCCTCGCTTTGTATACGGCAGCGGGATCCTACGCGCATCGTTTAAAAACGGGAAAAACTAAAGTTAAGATTTACTCCCAAGTAATCGCGCCTGCAGAGGATCGCACCCTTGCACCCGATCCTATGCAGGGGGCGGCGGCCCTACGCCCCGCTGACTTCAGTGCGGCTTTCTCCCGCGTAATTGCAGATATAGGATCTCAAGGGAACTTTGCGTATTTTCACAGCCGCTTGGGAAAGTGCCTTGGGGCGTGGGGGGAGCGTTTTTAAAAAAGAAATCATTCATCATCCTGCAGGCTTTTGGTTTACGCGGCGCGGAGCGACCGCCCCCCCAACCCCGGGGCCTTTTATTGTTCGCTTCCCACGTTGCTCTGGGCCGGCGCGCGAACGGGTTAACCCCGGAGGGGAGCTGCGAGCGCGGCCAAAACAATGGGCAGAATCAGAGCATGAATAATCCCCGCGCGGCGGCCACTCCTCCTCCTCCTCCTCCGCTCCCCCCGTCGATCCCACCCACCCCTACCCGCCTCGGATCCCGCTATATCCCCTCCTCCTGGGGCGAAACGGTGCGCCTCTCTCTCCAAGTCGCCAAGTTGGTGAGGCTCCAGCTGCAGGTTGATGCGTCGATTGCGCAGCCTCGTTGCTACTTGCTTGGAAACCGCCGCAGCCGGGAAACTTTCCTCTTTGCGTCCTGCTGCCGCCGCCGCCGCTGCCTCCTTTTCTCTTCGGCTTTGGGGACCTTTAGCCCTTTGATCCTCAGCCGTGGCTCTCCGGGGGAAACACTAGTCACTCCTTCCCATTTCCCCCGATCCCAATTCCCTCCGGGATTTCTCCTTTCTTTTTTTGCTTTATTGCCAAACGCGAAAAAATGGCGAGGGCGCCGGGGAAGGTCCGCTGCGCGCCGCCAGTGGTGCCGCCGCCGCTGGTGCTGCTGCTGCTGGCCGCGGCCGTGCCCTCTGGCTCGGAAGGGCAGCCGGTCTCCTTCCACGCGGATGTGAACGGCCACAGCCTGCACCCACCTTACTTCAACCTGGCCGAGGGGACCAAGATCTCGGCCACCGCGACCTGCGGCGAGGAAGACTCCGGCGCCAAGACCCCCAGAGCCGTGGAGGATTTGTATTGCAAACTCGTGGGCGGGCCGGTAGCGGGAGGGGACCCCAACCAGACTATCCAGGTACAGTATTTTCATCGGAGGCTTCCTGATTTCTAGTTTCCATATGGCCGCATCTTGCATTGTTATTACTGTGGCTGTAATTTGGTTTAAGTGTTTTGTAATGATGAGCTTTAAATTATTGTAACCCGCCCCGGGACCTGCTGGCGACCTGTTTATAACACGAAACACGCGTGAATCTTTGCATCGTGGAGAGCGCGCAATAGAACCAACTTGAGGATTCAATCCTGTGCCTTCTTTCCTGGGAATAAGCCCCGTGGACCGCGATGGGACTTTTCTCTCAGGTGGGCTGTTACAGGATGAAGGAAGAGGGTGGGGGAAAATATATATCCTGGCTTTGCAATTATTTATCACAGCGCATAACTTTGGGCTGGCTTCTCCGCCAGTGTGGGCTAGAAATCTCGAAATCTCCCCTCCTCCTTCCTCTTTTGTTATCTCCCAAGTTGACTTGAGGTTGGTGGATTGATTCTCAGTTAATGGGGCAGGCACACAAAAGGTCTGGGGAGGAAGTGTCTCTCGCAAGTGTGTGTTTGTGGCTGTTTGCACGCTCACAGAGCACATGTTTGCTCTGCGCTTCATAATGTGGACTTCTGAAAGGAGCATTGAATTTAGCAGACCTTTTTAGTGACTCTGGACTGAATGGCTGTGTCACCTTCCAGTTTTAAGGAAGGATGCAATTACTCTTCTTTTCGCCCCCACCTCCATTGACTGTGTACAGACAAACCATGTGCCAAGAGGTAACTTCTCAGCTGCTTGTTAAGCTTGGTGTGTGAACTGCTCTGCCAAGTCGTACAGCACTTAAATAGCTGATCAGAATTCTAGTGTTGTGAGGGGGGCAGTAACATTCTGTTCACGTTTGGCAGGACAACACACACACACACAAGGTTAGCAAGTGGTTACTGCTGGGTAAATTGTGGCCCATTCATTTTACGGTTAGACCCAACGTGCTCAAACTTACAACAGAACTCTGATTTATGTGCTTTATTAGTATGCTTGAATGCAGTGGGTGCTCGCTGCTTCCCTCTCCATAAAAAAAGCAACTTTCTGTTTTCTCAAGTTGAGGGTGCCCATTTGCCAAAAAATAATAATATTGCGATCCAGTCAAAGTTAAGCATTGGCTTAAAGTAAAAAAATAACAATAAAGACTTGTTGATTGTAGTAGGGGAAAGTTTAAGCACTTTCTTTCAAAAATGTTGAAATTTAGACAATCCTGGCTTCAGGGTTGGGTGTTTTTGGGGGGAGCAGTTCTTGGTCAAGATGCAACCCCCATACTCTCTGCTTTTCCTGCCCCTTTGGGCACAGTCCCTGCAACTTTCCAGGAGAGGGCAAAGTGAGAGGAAGCTGCTGGTCTTTCTTCTTGCTCACATGCTTAGAGGGGCCAGGTGATCAGGAAGCGTCCATGAGGAGGAGGGGCAGCAGGGCTGGGGGAGCCCTCTTGGATTTGGCAGTGGGCCCCATTTTGGGGCATGGGACTCAGCAGTTGCCCAGCAATGCCAGCCTCTGATTGAGACGGGCCCTGAACACAAATGTGATTGGCCGCTGAAATGCGTTTCTTTTTTGTCAGGCATACAAAAGAATTCCAGGGGTTTTTTTTAGAACATAATAGCAGAAAACCTGTGTTGAAGAAAACACATCAGCCTATTTCATGCTACTAGTTAATAATTGTGTGTGTGTGTATTGCTCGGAGCACCTAATGTTCATTTCCTTACAACAACCCTGTAAGGTTGGCCCAGTGTTGCTATTATCTGTGGGGGCTGAGGCATAGCAGCCTGCCTTAAGGTTACCGCCAGTTGAGTTCATGGCCAGAGACCCAACTACGAATATTCCTCTTCATTTCATAACTATGGTGTTACGTGGCTTCCACATCTACAGCTCAATATCTGTGAAGCAAACCTGCTTTTCAGAGCGGCACAGTTGGTCTGCCCTTTTCTAAGCACCTTTTCTTTTTTCCTTCCTTGCTCAGAATTCGGAGTTCTGTGTTTTCACTGGATCACCTATAAAAAAAGATACATAGAGGAGAGAATTAAGGTAGCTCAGCTGGCAAGAGCATGATACTCTTAATCTGAGGGTTGTGGCGGGTTCAAGCTCCACTTTGGGCAAAAGATTCCTGCCTTGCAGGGGGTTGGACTAGGTGATCCGAGCTGTCCCTTACAATTCTATGATTGGCTTTTTTTTGGAGTTGCTTCTTTGCACTGAAAACGTTTGACTGTTAAGAGGGATCTTTGCATTTTCTCAAAACAGGAGCTTCTCTAGTAAGTATAAGCAAGTCCTCTAGAGTTCTACCTTGGCTCGCCCAGGTATCTCCACTCATAGTTTAATGTCTTATAAAAGAACAGTGCAGGCAATTGGCAGGCACCGGCTTTTTTCTGTATAGCACAAATGCAGCATCTGAACCAGGGATGGGGAACCATTTTCTTCCCACTAGGGCAGCATTCCCTACATGCTAGTGTTGGGCATAGAGGTGGATTTTGGAGTGAACAGTTCCACCAAACTGGGTACCAAGCCTTGAGGCTGCTGCAGGGCATCGCACCTATGAGGTAATGAATTGAACCAGAACGGAAGGTGAGAGGCAGGAGTGCTGAATTTTAGTCTTGCACAAGGTGCCACTGAGACTTGAGAAAGGCCAGAGTCCACCCCAGAGGGTAGGTCCGAAGGCAAAAAGTGTGCAGGGCAATGAATATGAGTCTTAGTACATTAGGTTTTCTAGCCATGGGGGAAATAAAATCAAAGGTTTCTAAACACAACACATGCTCCCCCATCGAGCAAGCAAGAGGAATCGCCACAAGTTCAAGGACACATTCTGGTCATACAAAAGCACTCAAAGAGGTGATAGTAGAGCCAAAGCGGAGTCTGGCTTGGAGAGAGGGCTGAGGCCTGGATGGCTGTGTTTGGTCGCTGGAATGGAGGTTCCCCAACCCTGCTTTAAACATTGAGTCCAAACATAGGGAAAGAAAGTAAAGGTACCCCTGACCGTTAGGTCCAGTCATGAACGACTCTGGGGTTGCAGCGCTCATCTCGCTCTATAGGCCGAGGGAGCCAGTGTACAGCTTCCGGGTCATGTGGCCAGTATGACAAAGCTGCTTCTTGAGAACCAGAGCATCGCACGGAAACGCTGTTTACCTTCCCGCCGGAGCGGTCCCTATTTATCTACTTGCACTTGACGTGCTTTTGAACTCCTAGGTGGGCAGGAGCTGGGACCGAACAATGGAGCTCACCCCGTCACGGGGATTCGAACCACTGACCTTCTGATCGGCAACCCTAGGCTCTGTGGTTTAGACCACAGCACCACCCGCGTTCCGCAGGGAAAGTTAGTTCTGCTTAAATCCCCTGGAAAGTGACCAGGCAAGTAAGTTGCGGCTAATTTATTCCACATTAATTTCATTCAGTCTCTTATTTATTATGAGAGGAATTTAGCTAGCCTTAGGAGGAGATTGGCAGCTTCCCCCCAGTTTCAGTTAACAGTAGTTTAAACACGACATCTAAACTTTAAACTATGGTTAATCTTAATTTTGTAGCCAGCTTCATAAACCATAGCTTGAAGTTGGGTTGTTTTGGACAAACCATAGTTAAAATTAACCACAGTTTGTTGGACAACCCAGCAAGTTATGGCTAATCAAAAGCAGAATCAAACCTTCTGAGCTTTGTGGATGCATTGAAAGAAGAGGGTGTGGGGGAGGCTGGGCTCATTGCTTTCACAATAACATGGTTTATTGTGACATCTGAACACACCCAGCGGTTAATTCTCTTTGCATTAGGGCCCATATAACATCCCATACATGTTTGCCCTAACAATGGACATTTAAGGGAAATCATAATCTTAGAAGTAGCTGTCAGTAACTTGGGACATAAAAGTTATTCTGTATGACAGCTTCATAAACTCTTGAGACAGCATTAAACTTGAGTTGCCAAACCTGGATGTATGGCAACCCTAATTTAAATTTTTTAAAAAAATACACAGATCAGGATGAAATGTTAACCCATAGTTTAGTTTTCCAAGAACAAGCCTAGATCTTGGACTGGTGCCTCTGGCATGGCCACAATGAAAATTCAGAAACTTTTGTTTATGATTTAGCTTAAGCACAGCTTTCCTGGACAAACTATGATAAATCTTAGTTCATTAAGTTTGCTTGTTTTCAATAACCACAGTTTAGGTTTTCGATGTAATGGTAAACTGTGGTTAATTTAAAAGTAAGCTGAAGCTTCTGAACTCCTCAGTGCATGAGAAGAGGGGAATACACAATCCAGAGACTTGCTCTGGCTTATGTTTACAATCCTAAACCCTGGTTTTGTGTTAAATGTGAACTGAGCTTTTAAATAAACCCTAAAATACGGAGGCACCACCTTTTGCTCTGCTTTGGTAGCACAAACTTTGTTGGGTTGCTTCTCTTCCTTGGTGTGGAATGCCAGGAATATTCAGGGATCAGCCTGCTACAAATGCTTCTATGCATATTTACTTGAAGGTTTGGATCTGGTATTCTTCCAAACCATTTCAAAACAGATGTGCAGGTGTACACTACTTTGGGGACAGACAGTAAATATTTTTTATGGGAGCCGAAGGTGGTGTGATACAGGCATTGTGGTGTGTAGCAAATCAACAAGAGCTGGGAACAGAGAAAGGTTGAGTCTACACACCAGGCACAACCATGCTTCTGTTCTGTAATATCATGCGCAACACTTTGGAAAAAGTGCCTCTGTTACCCAACCCTAAATGGAGAGTGTTGAATGTTGAGAACGTAGGTGTGAATAAGTCTGCAAATTGTTTGAAGGAATGTGGGTGGGAAAGAAGGGTGTGTTAAGGATAAACAATTATTACAGGCTTATGTCAAAGTAAATGTCTGCTTAAACTGGGACCTGACTGAGAGGCCACATGCACCCAAGGCCAAGAATTTCCTAGGAATGTGGATGGCAAAAGTGTACTGCTGTTCAAAGTGGCTTGCGCTTTGCAAAGTGCTTAACAACTGTGGACATCTGGGATGGAGGAGAGACCAGTTGCAAGAGAGGATTTGCTAAAGGCTGGGGGTGGGGGGAAGCAAGTGAGCTTTTACTTCCCTGTGTCCCAGGCCTGTTGTAAATCCTGCAAGGCCAACCATAGGAGTTGGAAAGCAAGTGGAATTTGAAACCTTCCCCAGTGTGCGAAGAAAGTCTTAAGACAAACCTTAGCAGCAGGGACCATTGTGGCTCGTGCTGGGTCAGGAAGAAGTTGAGATGCCCGTTCACCTGGCTCCCTTCCTCTGTGTAAGATTAAGGAGGATTAAATTAATACATTCGCAGTTGAAGACACTTGACTCACATAAGTGAAAAATTAGCATGGCAGAAACCATTTTGGCTTATGTTTCTGTTTTATGGTTGAATTTGGATATAGGTTTACGTACTCTGAATGGCCAAAGCTTTAGCTGCTTGAAATCTCCAGCTAACAATCAACCCACCCATGTTTTGCTTTGCAAGTTTGTGTAGAACAGGGGTGGCCAACTCCCAAGTGACTGCGATCTACTCACAGACTTAAAAGCTGGCAGTGATCTTTTGGGGGGTTCAGGTCAAAGTTGTTGAGCTTTTTTTAGGAACAGACACCCTGCAGGAAGAAAGGTGTGAGGTGCACCTGTTGGACAATCTACCTGTTGGACATGCCTGGTGTAGAACATGTGTAGATCAGGGTAAACCAGAAAAGGAAGCAGGCAGTTACCATACTGGTGAGGAGGAGGGTATGCATGCATGAGGAGGTACCTGGATTCCAGGGTGCCTGAAATGTTGGTGCTGATGACTTATTCAGTTGACCTTGTTTGTTGGTAACTGGCACAGTGCAGCCCAAATTGTGTGCCTGGGGGAGGGCACCTGGCCAAACACAGAATGGGTTGTGTGAAGTGGCCCATAAGTGCACCATTGTGGTTTCCAAAGTGACAATCCCCCTTTGAGTCTGGATTTTCAAAAGGGCTTCTCTCCCTGTTGTCTTGTTTTAGTGTTAAGCTGAAATGAGAATCTGGGTTTGGGTGAAATGTAGACACTAATAAAAGTTCAGCTTCATTGAAAACTATTCTTTTATTTTGGGGTGAACCAGCCACCCTTGAAAATGAGGCTTTGGATTTGGTCACCACAATTTATCCATTTGGTAACTTATTCATTCAATAAGCTGTTTTTTTGGGGGGGAGGCTTATTGCTTTCCAAGAACAAGGGCAGCCGATTTGTTTCTTTTATTTCAGTCCATGCTGAACATACCTGATAGTAACCACCACCCTTGAATGCTAAAAGAGCGATAGCTAAGAGAGACTTGTTACATGTTAAAGACTAGGTGTTTGATAGGCAATGCTTGTTTAACCGTGAGGCTATCATGCCAGATTCTCTATAACCAGCTATGTAGTACCTGCACACAAGAGGCTTATGTCAAGCACCCAAGTTCTCATGACAACTCTTTATGCCTCTTTCACCATGTCTGATTTGTGCCCTTCCAATTGCAGCCTTGCACCATTCATACGTCCTTTCTTGGATACTACCAGCAACTTCCAATTAAACAAACTTTGGCTATTCATAATGCTGAGTTGGATTGTGGTTGCTGCTCCCCTTCGTGTTCTTCTGTATGGCTTTGATACTGCTGCCCCTTTGATGTAAGCCGTACTTCCTAGACTGATTTTTCTTTGGCCAATCTGTAGTGCTTTGGTAAAATCCTTTTGTGGCTGGTTCCTTCCCCTAACAGTGGGCAGCACTGAAGGGGAAAAAAGGGAAGGCATAGGAAAGGAGGTATTAAGTTGAAAGGTCACCGTTCTTAGTTCATTATCTTTAGGGATTTCAATGCTCTCTAGTGACTAAATCAACAATGAAGGCATGGAGAAAAAGAGGGGGATGTATGTTCAATTTCCGTTGGCTGACGCAACCATAATGAACTCATGAGTTGGTTTGTAGAGTTCTCAAAGTTGCACCACTTAAGCTTGCTCTCACCCTTTCACCTTCACTGCCTTATATATTATTCCCCAGTGGAACACACCCACAGGCTGGAAAACTATGGAGAAAAACCGTGGAAGAGCTAATCTTTATATAAGATTATATAAGATGGGCCATTAGAATAGTTGCTTCCATGTTGTTGTTGTTTAGTCGTGTCCAACTCTTCGTGACC